ATGTGGCTCCAGAAAGTTTTTCCAATAGTGAATTTGAAGAATGAAAATGCTTTCCTATTTGAAACCACTTTCATTCATATCTTTCTTGTGGCGATTAGTTTCAGAATGGGACCATTTTTCTAGCTCTTCATGTCCTTGTCATCTCAAAAAATAAACCACAATTTTAGTTTCAGGATAGTCAATATTCTGATATTTCTACAGCAAATTCTACTTTATGCCTGAGCATTTGCAGTGAACTCTTAACAAAACAAGTTTAATCTCTTCATCTTCATCTCAATTCCACAATGCCCTATGTCTCATCAGAAAACCTTTTCCACTTTTTCCATTTTGTTACGTTACTCAGAAAACTCAAGTGCATTCGAGCTCTGTCTAAGATGATGCTCACCTTAATTTGCACTGAAAACCTTTTATTTGGAACTAGGCCAAATTGTCAAGTTTATTATTTAGTATTCTCCAACATATACTTGCCGTGGGCATTGAAGATCTGCCGGCCCTCTGAGACAGCACCCAGTGCTACTTCTGTTTCCATTGTCTCTACCTGTTCTAAAATTCAGTTTCCTAAAAATCAACCCCAATCAAGACATTTCTTCCTCCTGAAATACATTTTTACACTCAATTGCTGGTAAAATAATTACAGACTCCTCTGTTGGTACCCATACACACACACACATATGCACACTAACTTAGTGTTCTGACTCATTCTCTTTATTTTATGAAGTTCACGGAACACTACACTGCTGTGAGTAATGTCTCCCGTAGCCTACAGTGTGATCTTCCAGGAACAGAGCAGACCCACATGGGGGCATATAGAAGAGTCTCCAAGTAGAGTAGACGTGCCACATATGTAAACATGACCTCTGTGATACTGAGTATGTGCAGGTGCTTTCTGAACATTAAAGCTATGAACTTGTGGAATGCACTTAACATTGTCATGAGGTAGGCATTATTATTTTCCATTTTACAGATGAAGAAACTGAAGTACAGAGAAAGCCACTTTTTTTGCCAGGTACCATGGTTAGTAAATGGCAGTGTTAGAACTTATTCTCAGGTACAGTCTAAGTGTATACTCCTAATTTCTCTAGCAGGGCATCTCTCTCCCTCGATTTCCACCAATTACCACCTGTAACCTCTTCCCTCAGCACAGGAGGCTGAGATTAACTGAGCACGATCATGTTCCTATGAGTGTCCAATAAGATATTTTATTGTGAGGGTGGCCTAGGTCAGGTATCTTCCAGTGAGTATTCCTTCTCTGATTTTCTTGATCATCCTTCTCAGATACCACTCATAATTTTTTTGCTATATGCCATCTTCCTTGTCCTCCAACCACATGATACAGATCACGTTCTATAACTACATAGAAAAATTCCCAAGACCAAAATCATAATATTCAGAATTGCTCTTTGATTTCCCAATATTATTGATAGTCCCTCTCATCTAACTTCACAGTGACCCTTGTGTCCTCTTCATCCCTGTATCATCCACTCCATAAGCAATGCATTTCTGCAGTTTGGTTGTGCATGTGTCCTTGATGTCACTCATAGCCTTTTCCATCTTTTCTCCTTATACTGGGGACTGCCACATCTGTTGTCTTAGGTTAGGTAAGTGGTGTATTCATGGTGCTATATTCCTAGAGGTGCTCATGATCTTTTTTCCATCTGTTATAGGAGTCCTGTACCTGATATTTCAAATACAGTGTGATTAAATTTGGACCACTGACCATATATTCATTCTACTCCCCACTGCCAGTTTAGGGTATCTAAGAACCTCTGCCTTGCTCCCACCCCCTAGTCTGCCCTCCTCACTGTTGTCTGCTGAAATGAGAAGGTGCTCCTCAGTGAGTAAGAGACAGGCTACGTATCGCAAGCTGATTTGTCCTTCCAACCTCTTCTCCTACTACTCTGACACATATTTTGTACCCTCAGCAAACAAGACCAAAAACTCCTCCCATGAAAAGTTCTGTTTTTCCACCTCCATCCCCTGTCACTACAAATGTTGCACCATCACACTGCTTAGGTCTTTCTCAACACATTCACATTCCCTCTCTTGAAATTCTAAGTACCTTCTTTTCTCATTTTCAAGAATCTGTTAGAACTTTCCTTATTTACCTTTCTGTTTGCCTACTTTCTTCATCTTCTTTACTGGACTTTGAAATTCCTGAAGACAATCTTACTCACCACTCTAACCTTTGCAACAAAGATTAAAGCCTTGCAGATATTAAATATTAAATAAATATATGGAGATTGGAATTTTGAAGCCCACTCGTTTATATATGTAGAGAATGGGAATCAGTGTTCAGATATAGTTTAATCCATCATTTTTGCAGAAGACATACATAAGTCAGACTTGGATAAGTTAAGAAAAACATTCCTAAATTCCTGATCACAAGAAGAAAATATTTATTGACTAATACTGGTTATAATTTTTAGAAATTCCTGAATCTCAACTCGATATCTGTGTGCATTTCCTATACACTTAATAATTTGCCTCTTTCTGTAGCACTAATACCTGACATTTCTAATGCTTAGTTTCCTTTTTCTGTAAAACCAGCATAACAATGACTATTTTGCAAGATGTTTATGAGGATTAAAGGACCTATATATTAAATGCAGTAGTATGGTCTGGAAAATCAACTCTCATAGATACTGAAGATATGTTAGGGTTTTTTTCTCCCTAAGTGAACACGGCCCACTTGACTGCAGAGGCTTGGGATTTATAATTAAAATTGCCTGTTACAGTGGTGTTCGCACTCCAGCTGAGACCCCGAGGCTTGCTCTTGGAAGTTGTCTCTTCCAGAGAGCACAACACGTAAACCATTAACCTGGAGGGAATAAAGACCTGTGAGGCCGACATGCTTTCATGCATTTGTAAAAGTAAAAGCTTGGTAGACACTAGAGAAAGTTTTTCTGTGCCCTGTGATAATGCCAAAGGTAATCAGGAGGATTAAAATTAAATTCAGGTGGAATGGTGTTCTGTCGGTTTCCCTGTTCCTCAGGTATGTTTCTCTGAACCACGGGAAGTCATCTCCCTGACCTTCCTCCCTCCTCACTAAACCCCAGTTGAGAATGTGACTCCAGGACAAAACTGTGCCTGGAAACCCAGCAGAGCTGAGCCTACAGTTAGGGAATGAGGTGTCTCCAGCTGTAGCGATCTGAAGGCAGCAGAGGCTGGGAGTAGCCCAGAGTGGAAGCAAACATCTCTGCCATTTTTATTCACCTTCAGGCTCTCTGAAGCAATTTTTGTCCAAGGAGAAGTTGGAAAAATGCAGTTAGCAGGCACTGATTATAAATACAACTGTTTTCAAGGGTATTATAGGTTCATACTTGCTTGAATTTAATCTTTCCTTCCTCTTCATTTCTTATTATTTTCTGATTTTTTTCCCCTTCTCTATCTTTCCTTTTGCTCTGCTCTTGCACTGAGGAACTTCAAGGCTTTTAAATATATATTGTTAAATATTCTTCACTCAGTGTAATTTTTAAAAAGGGAGAAAGTCAGTCTAAATCAATGACAAGCTGGAGAAATAAGCAATTTTTAAGGAAATGAAGTTTTATTACTCTTAGGGATGTACTGAAATTATTGAAAGCAGCAATGAGCTATGTCACTTAGGAAATGGATGGCTGCCTTAACTCCAACATAAGCACATACTGTAAATTTACTCCTTGAAATGAAATATGTGGGTTCTTTTTTTTTTTTTTTGGCTAACAACCTTTTCTCTTTAAGTAGACTAACATTCATTTCTTTACAAATTGCTTAGCAAACATTTTTTATTTGAACTTGAGGATATTGAGATACAAATGGAAATCTCCATTGTTTAAGACTTGATGCTAATGAGGTCAAGACCACACACTAAATCTCCATACTGCCAATTATGTCTCTCATGTGTGGCTATAAGAGTATGCACTAGGAGGCCTGGTCATGAGCAGCTGAAGGGCATAGCGTGTGGATGACTGTCTCCTGTGTGCTTCCACATCCTGGAAAATGGCTGTATTTCCATCTGCAATGTGTCCGTGGTCGGTAACTTCATCTTTCTCTGTGAGAATCAGTTACTGTAGAGTTTAAAGATAATTTTAACACCATCCCATCATTGTTAGTTTACTGACTTGATATTTCAGTGTTTTGCTATCTGACCATGTTATTTAAAACTAGAAAAAAATTTTCTACTTTTAGAGGCATTTTTTGCAAATGTAATTGTACCTTACTCATTGAGGCTAATAATACTACGTCAGCTCATAGAATTGCCTCTGAACTCTTTAAAAAAAAAAAAAAAAAAAATCCTTCTGATGAGATCAGTGATTTCTTTTTTGCAAACTTCCTATTCCAGCTCAGAGTGAGCTTTTTTTCTATGATTAAAATGTATTTCTCAATTAAATTAAAATGCAAATATAGACACTCTGTGTTTATGGTTATAATAGAATTATTTAAAGAGGGCTTTAAATCAACCTACTATTATTATTTCATGCAGAAACTTTATTTTATTGTTGGGCTGGTGCTGCCATGGTCCATTATCAAGATTACTTAAAGTGCTATGAAACCTTAATCACATTGCCCAGGTTCTATCAATTTGTACCCACCCTTCTCCAAGAAGCTGAAGTAAGCTGTATTCTTACATACTTCAGAAGTTATGTCAGTGATGTTGGAGAAATCTCAAGTACTAAACCTTCCGAACCTCCTGAAATTGACTTATGAAAAATTTACTATTTGTTTGAAATAAATAATAATCGTATTTTATTTTACAGGATTAGGGCAATTCTTAAGAGTCTCATATTTTATACATTGTTATAAAATTAAATATCTAGAAGAATACTTCAAGTAATGATTGTGTCCAGTCTTTGTATTAGCAATATAATGTATTTATATGGGAAATTGTATCTAATGTTATGCATTTAATGATGATCCTTTCAGATTTCTTTTCTTTTTCTGGGATCTTACACTTCTCAATCACTGTGGTTGAAATTTAAAATAATATTTTATAACTTTATCTTTTTCTTTTTGACTGTTTTTAGTGATCTCAGTGAAAATCAAATTCAGGCTATTCCAAGGAAGGCTTTCCGTGGGGCAGTTGACATTAAAAATTTGTAAGTATATGCATATATATATATATATATATACATGTACATAGTTTTTAACTTATACTATTTTCATATGTTAGCATATTTTCTATTTTTATATTGAAGAAATTGTCATCAAAAAGGGATGGAAACCTTCATATCTTTATCCTTGCTTATGAGACATTGTAATAGTAAATTTTAAATTATTGTTTGAAGAGATTCTCATTTAGAAGATATCTGGAAATAATTCATTATCAAATTTATTCTTTAGACCTTGTTACTAATCTTTTGAATACTGAAATGATTTGATAGAGGTATTTACCATCCCTTTTGTTTTCTTTTTTCTGCTGGTATATTTCAGTCACTCCTTCTTAAGTTGCTATCAGTGTTTACTTGAAGTGAAGTATATGAACTATTTTTTCTTAGAAGAGTAGATAATATTTTCTTTTTAGAGGTATTTGTAGCCCAGACTTACAGTTTGTAGAGATTTTAAATCACCATTTTCATTAACTGTCAAAATTATGTTTTCTCAAATGTTTTTTCATCATATTTTCATGATATATATATTGTCTTTTAAAGTTAAAAAAAGAAAAATATGTTTCTATATTTTTTCTTGCTGAATCTTTAATCTGGTTTGTCCTGGAGAAATGTTTTTTAAGTGCCAATAGCTCTTAAGGTACATTTCAGATTTAAGATCTCAATGACTATCTTAATATTGTCAGTATATCTTTTATAGATTTTAAAATACCATATTAGTCTTGAAAAATGGTGGTTTTTAGTTGACTGAATGTTAGCACATAAAGTGCTTCCCTTAGCTTATATAATATTTTAGAATGTAGGGAGCAAAGACTGCCTCAGCGAGTTGAGATTAACTATCAACAATCCATTATTTCTTAGCTAGTAACAAGCACAGCAGGCACTTTTTCAAGAATTAGCTGATATTCAGAATTGTCCATGGTGGAATTCAGGGCTCGTCTTCCAGTAGCAGAAGTGAGATGGGCATTTTCTCTTGTCAAAGAAGACAGCGCGTTTATAAAGCCAGAGATTTTGGCCTCTGCATCGTCTTCTAAATATAAATGGATTTTCTATTACATTGTACTTTCTAAATGAACAGGAAATGACATAAAAGTACAAATTTGTAGATGTAAATGTATAGAGCTATCAAAAGCATGACTTTGTTTTTATGGTCACTCAAGTTAAAAGGATTTCATTTGCTTTCTTTTTATCTTTGCTAGCTAGGGCTTGGAGAACTCAACTGAGGTAGTGATGTAAGGTGGCCAAAACTGTCTCTATATTATGTTTACTTCAAATAGCAGAGGGCTCCCTTTGGGCACTACTCCCCTTGCCTTTATGTCACTGTAAACGTATACTAGTAGCTGTAGTTGACCACCGTTTGGGGATATTATTTGCAATTTTATAGAAATATTATCTCCCCATTCTCTGTGTGTATTTATTTGTGTATTTCTGGGAGTTACTGAGGATCAAACCACTCAGCTATATCCCTAGTCCTTTTTATTTTTTATTTCAAGACAGTTTCTCAGTTGCCCAGCCTTACCTCAGACTTGCAACCTTCCTGCCTCAGCCTCTCCAGTGGCTAGGATTAATGATATAGGCCACTGCACCCAGCTTACCTCTAAATTCTTAAAACAGGTGGCTTATAATCTTCTTAATCAAGACTTTGAAGGTTCAAGCCAACAAGTAAAACTTCTCCCATATTTAAGGATGCATTTGTTAGTAGGACCAGTCATGGTGAATTTCATCCATATGTTTCTTCCTTAACCTTCAAAACTAGTTTTGAGATTAAAGCAAAAAGAAATGTTAGCCATTTGCTATGACGAATGAGTATTTTAGACCATTTTATCCTTGCATGCCTTAGCTTTCCCTAAATTTAAAAACTGTTGTTATGTGTGCGATAAGTATAAGATTAAAGTTTAGAGAGTTGTGCTGTTTTGGATTTGTGAGCAAATCAATGAACTTACCTAGCCATATTCTTGGTTTTATAAAATGAATGTATATTTGGATTGTTGTGGTTATTCAGGAAATAAGATGTGAAAATAAAACAGTAAATGGCTATGAAGTTATAGTACAGTATTTCATCCTGTGAATATTCAACAATCAAACACTAGACGATATCTCTGAAAAATGTGTAGTAAGGAGGCAGGAGTGTAGAGCATAAAACTAATAGCAATATTAGGAATTGATCCGATTACTCTGTTATAAATCAATTAGAACTGAGCTACAAAATAAAAAAAAGAAAAAGATACTATAAAGTATGAAATGAACATACACAAGACCTAGATTTGTAAAAAAGACTTTAAATACTATAGAAATTGAAGAAAGGAAAAGATAAATGTATTGTTTGAAGTTATCAGAAAATGCTCGGGGAAAGAAAAATATAAAAGAAAATACAAAGAAATCTAAGAACGTTGGATTTTATTGCATATTGGTTTGTAGAAGTAGGTAAGGGTGAGTTGAGAAAGAATTTCAAAGGAGACTGGTCTAGGCCTGATTTCAGTTTTGATTGAATTGAATATTAAAAACAAAGTGTAGTGTGTGTATGTGTGTGTGTGTGTATGTGTGTGTGTGCGTGTGCACATGTGATGTAAGGAATTGTGTGACCTTTCTTCAAAAAGCAAAGCAGTATAAGTCCGAAATAATAGGGGTAAGAAGCAGAGGGATTTCAATGTGAGAAAGTGGAGTAGAACGAGATCCACATAATTTCAACTTTGGAGCTTTATGTTACCACGGAAGTAAAAGAAGCTTAAAGGATTGTGTGTATGCTGAACTATGAAAGTCAAAAAAGGAATTTTCTCCTTTTCTAATTGTTTTCCATAGAACATTGTAAAATACAATGATAGCAACATTGAAGTATCAAAATGCATTAATAGATACAGCTAATTACTAGGGTCATAACTATATAATTTTGCAATTTAAAAATTAGTTCAAACTACTTTGTTTTAAAACAGATTTCACATCATATGAGGCATGTTTCGAAGTTTAGATTTATTCGAACTTAAAGCTATTTGGTAAAATATATTATAACTGCAAGTTAAAGTCTAATTTACATTGTTATTAAATAAACTGGTGCCCATAAACTACCAATTAATGATGCAACAAAATGCCATTAATATTACTGTTATATATGTTCAGTGTGAGAAGTAAGAGAGGGGTTTTGTCCTTGTTACTGTCCCCGCGTGTCCGTGGTAGACTGGACAGAAGGAATATGTGATGTCTCTGCACCAGGATTGGACGAAAACAAGTGAATAAGAAGAAATAGGGAGACAGACCTCTCTCAAAAGGGAAGGGAGCCAAGAGATGAGGGAGGAGGGGAGGAGCAGATGAAATATAAAGTTAAGACATGTTATACAAATGCACCAATTCCCCGTGAGGAATGCAGTTGTTATGTACTGCAAACATGCACTAATGAAACACAAAAATAAAGGAATACATGCTTTTGCTGTGACAAGACTGGACAGAAGAAATATCTGCTTTAGCTGTGCAGACCACATTTTCCGGAGCACTGTCCAGAAGCCCAGGCTGAGGCATTCAAACAGGTCCATTGGACTTCCACCACCAGGCCTTGTTCACAGCAAATTCTGGTTACTACAAGATTTCCACTTGAAGCACTTGCTTTAATCTTGTTGGCTAAATATGCTCAAGGCAGCATCTTGACAATATGAAATTGATGCTGTGGAAATGTTGCAAATTAGCAGATTTTATTCCCTTTCCTTCAGGCAAACCACACTGAAACTGTTGTAGACAGATGGGCATTTATCTTGTTCTTAAGCATCTCCAGGGAGGATTTCATAGAACTATTTTGCTTATCTCTATTAATTTCCTAACTACCTTAACACCTTTTACATTTTATTTTGTTACTTTATTTTCTCCACCCACAATTGAAACCCTTTCATTTTTTCTTAACATTTTAGAGAGTGAGATGTGAGAATAACAAGATCATTAACATACCACTAAATGATAGTTTTATGAGAGTCATTGGCAACACTTTTGCATAGAATTGACATCTGTGTTTTTAGTCATAAAGAAAATATGAACTGAAGTATTGACACCATGTCATTACTTACTGATGCCTCACCAAAATGTTAGCCAGTGTTTATAGAACTTCCCTTTAGAAACTTTGTATATATATTTAAAAGATTTGGCGGGGATGCAGTAAAGCCATTGCTTCCTTCTAACCAAATCTTGAAAGAAGACATATTACATTGTACATTATTTTGTTTTCAGTATCTATATGGTATTTACATTTGATTTAATCTTTTTGGAAAATAGTCATATTAAATCTTGCTTCATAGCTGAAACTTGTGAGGTTAAGCTTCAAATATATACTTTATGAACATTAAGATATTTCAAAAATATCATTTTTTAAGAAAACATTTCCAGCTATACTTAACCCATGATTTAAACAAAATAATAGTAATACAAATATGTATAAATTAAACTTAAATAGATTACTAATTGTATTGACATCACAAACTCTTTATTTTTAATTTCTTTAGTGAGTTCAATATTAATATTTAAAATGATTAAATCTCGACAAGGATTTTTTTATGTATTGTATAAAGCCTGCATTTTTCTTTGTTTCATTTTGTTCTAAATGTAAGCATACTCTATGGTCCAAGAAAACTATATTATTTGTTGCTCATTAATAAATATACCCTAGTTGCTTATCTTATTCCATTTCCCTTAGCCCTACACCCATTAGAAGTCTTCCCCTCCTTTTCCAGGGAAAATAATACTTGGTAAATAATAGATTGAGGAAAATGTTTAAAATTGTTCTTTTTCCATATGCAAGTAGTGTATAGACAAATGTTTAAGTCACAAAATGATTTGTCATGATTCTCTCTGTATAAGTCATGATATCATTTGAAAGAAAAAGATGTATGGCCATAATATTTTAGGAAATAAATTGCCTTCAATTTGTGATACATATTTTATTAGCATTTAGAAGATTGTACAAACAGGACAGAGTTAAACTACACGTTGTTACAGAGCTATATAAACTACTTAGA